TTGTATGAATGTGATTGCATGAATTTGTGTTTGGCTCTAATTCTAAATTTTAATATGTGTTGGTTCTTATTAAGTAGTTTACATTTTAGGTAAATAATGGATGACTTTGTTCATGTTTTTATCCACCATAAAGGTTCATTTGTAGATGATGAGTTTCCTAGTTATGAAGGATTAGTTTTAGAGCTGAGATGTGATGTAGATAAGTGAAGCTATTTTGAGGTGGTAGGGATGATTAAAGACATGAGATATAAGTAATTTGGAAAAATATTATACGAGGACTCAATATTTGATATGTTTACTTTGAGTGATGACAAATGTGCGCAAAATATAGTTGATTTATGCAAGGTACATTTGAGGGTTAATATGTATGCACAACATCCACTTTCTCATCCTGAGTAGTATGATGGTTTTATAGAGGATGAGACTAAAAACTCACATGATTTCTTTATTCTTGATGAAGAAGATAATCACTCAAAATTTTATACAAGGTTGCATTATTTGTTCACAATAATTGTTTGGTGTGATCATCGAGTTGTTGATGATTGTTGTAAAAAGGTCCTTTGAATTAGTTTGATTCAAAGTCTACCATAGTTGTGGGTGTTAGAAAATCAAGGAATTTGTGTGCTTCTTTGTTGTTGTTGGAAGATTGTAAGATAAGTCTTAGTGGTATGTTTGTACAAAGATCTAACAATCACTACTACAAAATAATCCTTTCGTAACACCAATATTACGACGACTATAGTGTTAACTGTGGTAATAGATTAATCCTGGGCGCATATATATATATATATTTTATTTACTATAGGACATATCACAACGATCAAATGTAGCAACCGTAGTGAAAAGTAAACGAAGTGAAATGGTTTGAATCCCATCACCAATAATTAGCCATTTATTGTGATAAAAAATGTTATTGACTATGTATATGACCACAATTTTTATTACCAACCGTGATGAAACGTGATATTTATTTATATTTAAGCGAAACTATCTATCACTTCAGTGCATGACATCCATGTCCCTCAAAATATAACCCTAACAATTTTTTCACTCCTCTCTCAAAACGAAACCCTAACAACTCTGTAACTCGCCTCTCTCATATGGAAACCCCAAAACGACACTATAACAACAAATCTTAGCCAATGGGTATTTACAGGTTCGTTTTCTCTGTAGTTTTTTTTTTCAAAATTTGTTTCAATAGGTTGCTTCATGATGTTTGAACTTTCTTCTTTTTTTGTCTTGTAGGTATGGATGCTTATTGCGATAAAGAGGACAAAGATAAATTTAGCCCGACAAACTTGTGTAAAAGATTCAGAATGACATCCATTTAAAATATACACAAGTTTGTTGGTCTAAATTTATCTTCATTCTTATTTCATTGTTGACACGTCATTATGGGACTTGACATGTGTGGTATGTTTCTGAAGTATTTTATGCCTTGATATGTTTGTTGTATCGTGTTTGTTGGTTATTGTTTGTTATTGATGAATGTTTTTTATGAATGTTGTTGTTAATGTCTGTTTAAAAGATGAGTTTATTATATATTATGTGGTTTGTGTGTTTTTCCAATCTCTTACTAAATGTATAACTTCCCAATTCGTATCAGAAAATTATGATATGATAGATAAAATTGTATCCGAAAATAAGACCACGTTCAATTCTTGACAAGTATTCTTCTCATTGTTAACTGCATGTTATTCTTTGACCATTAAAACTTGATTTAGTGATTGTAGATCTTCAAACACCCCTCTCTCCACCTCTATTTTTGTTTGCAAAGTAAATAATATTTTGCAATAACATGTAGAGGTGAAGACAGGGGCAGTTGAAGAACTAGGATCATTAAATCAAATTCTTACTGTCAAAGAGCAAAATACAGATAAGGACTTGGAGAACTCTTGTCAAGCATTGAGCATGAACTTAATTTTTCATATTATAATATTCTAGTGCAGATTGGAAGGTTATATGTTTAGTGAGCATTGGCGAAATAAGCATTTCACATAATTTATAATAAACTCAGGGCTATATTTAACAACGGTTGTCTAGAACAATCGTTGTTAAATATGTTGCATTTTAATATACCACAACAGTTGTTTAAAGTAACAGTTGTGGTAGGTAGCATGCTACATGAATACAATCACGGTCGTACGCTCGTGGTTGAAATCATCATACATACAATCACATCTTACGTCACAATGGTTGGACCTACGTGATGGTATCCTTTTTCAACTGTTGTGATATGGGTTTTCCGTAGTAGTGAATAGTGAAAATCTCTCTCAGCATGTGAGGAGACTAGATGTACCCTTAGTTGAAAAGGAAAACTAAGATACATCCTTATGTTATTTACTTTCTGCACTTTAATTCTCTGTTATTCATCATTCAAAACAACCACTACATCTTATTCTAAACCAGGAAACTAAAAAGAAAAAGGACTTGCTTAAATATCAAGAAAAATTTAGAAAGATTAATTCACCCCCTCTTGGATTGCACACTCTATACTTACAGGTTCCACCTCAGGAATGTCAGAACAAGTCTACACAAGAAATAAAAGCTCAACCTCACCCAAGTCAATCACAAGCAGCTCAAGTGTAACCTCATCCTACTCAATATTAAGCAACTCAAGCTCAACCTCAGCCTAATCAATCTCAGGAAACTTAGGCAAGTGTATCAATACCTGCTAAGAAAAATGGATCAAGACCTGCTATAAAATTAAGACATACTCCATCATGTGGATCAATAGCTGATTTCAAGAAGTTAAGCTTAAGGAGGTCATTCAAAAGTGTTGGATCACTAGGTTCTACAATTAGGTTAAGTGCAACAAGAAATGTCTTAGACCCTACCACTAGGATCAATTCATCTCAAACAAGCAAGTAGACAAATAAGATTTCTTTTGGAACTCTATTTTTGTTTAGGATAGTTATGCCTTTTAGAAATTTGTTTTGCTTTAGAATTTGTTGTAATGCTAAGTTAGATGCCTTTTGGAACTCTGTTATGATGTATTGGATTATCTTTTGATACTCTATTTTAGTACTCTATCCTTGATGAGCTTGCTAATTAATGAATAAGGTTTAATATTTTGTCATTTTATGCTTAACGATTATTGTTTACTGATACAAGAATGTTTGTTGATTATTGTTTACTTATTCAAGAAAGATGCATCCACTAAAAAAATGATGCATCTAATTCAACTAAAATGATGTTAAATACAAATCAGATGTATACCAGAATTATATTTGGTCTATCAAATTGATATTCAAAACAGACCATATGTATAGTAGAAACATATTTTGGTTTGTCAAATTAATGTCAACTTGATGCCCAAAAAGATGAGTATACCAGAAACATATATTAACACGTAATATTAAAACTTGAATTCCATTTCATTCATCTCAAATTACATTATAAAATCAACTCACATATAAATTAACAGGGACAAAATTACATAATTAAAATATTAAATTGTATATTAAAACACTTATAACTACAAAACATAATTTATTTCAAAATTTCTTCCACTTCATTGTGTTCTTGAGAGTCACTTTGAGTTCTTCTAACTCTTGCTTTTGTGCATCAATTTTGTCTCTTTGTCTTTCAATTCTTCCTTCACATTGAACTAATTTACAATGTTGATCTTCATTTTCTTTTACTAAAATTCCAACCTCTTTTTTTTTTCTTCATGATAAATATGTCTTTATTATCTTTCGCTTCATCATAATACAAAGCAAAATATTCACATCCATCCATTTTTAGTAGTCCATTGCATGAATTTAAGAAAACATTACACATTATGTCAAATTAAAATTGAAAAATTATAAGAGAAAAATAATATGGACATCTCTAAAGTTGTTTCTCAAAATCATTAATTGTTGTTGTCTTCAAAGCACAACCAAGTTTCCACACTAATGGTTAGGACTCTATTGCTTCTTCGAAGAAGATGAATAAGCCCTCAATTGGAAAAAGTTATTGTCTTCTCCACCATTACTAGAAACTTTTAGAAATGAAGACGAATTTATAGACAACATTCTTTTTCTTTGTTCTTAAAATGGATATGCCCTAACTTAAAGAAGCATGTAAAGTTGCAGAAGTGGTGTAAAGAACCAAAGTTGAAGAAGACGTATTATGAACTTAAATTCATAAGGCTGGAGAAGACTCACAAAGTAGCATTATAAGGATTTCAAAAGAAGATATTTAAATTTATAACTTATGATCTTACGTGGTTGTCACGTCCTACCAACTAGGACAAAGTGTTAAAAAAAAATAACAGCATTTAAAAAAAATAGCTAAGAAGAATAAACTTAAAACAGTTAATAAAATTGAGGGATCAAATTAATTACTTTTAAAATTGTGGAATCAATATGAACCTAATCAATAAATACAAGACGGAAAAAGATATTAAAACTTTAAAAATACAATAACTTTTATTTATAAATCTAACCTTAACAGTTGAGCATTTCATAGTTAGTGTAATAAACATAAACATGATAAGTTTGTTTAATGATTAATATAAAAGTGTTAGCTTTTTATTGATGTTTGGTAAAACAGTTTCAATAATCCAACACTATTATGAAACTTCTGGTTTCTTCGAGCATTATTACAATAAGTTTCTCTCTAGTACACTTATTAAATATTTATGACATGTTATTTAGGTTGGACCCGTCTCAAATCTAACGAGGTGCATGTTAGAAAAAACCCCAATACCGCCCCGTCCTATTAAATTTACTTTAATATTTTTACTTTTAATAAATTTATTATCCACTTACTTCTTAATCCCAAGATAGCAAATTTACAGTAAGAATTACTGTTATTATTTTTTTGGATAATGTTAACTTGTACTCTTGGAGTATATGTTAGTTCGAGTATATATTAAGAACTAAAGGGATTCATTAGTAGTCATTACCAACAAGAGATTTGTACAGAAGAACATTACATAAGGGAACTTCAAAAAAAACATTCCCAATTTGTACAAAATCCAAAATGATGATCAAAACTTTGTTGTGGCCAAATTACTGAGAAGAACAGCTTCTAGGTGCAATCCTGCGGCGAGAGAAAATGGAAGCAACGGAGATGGCGAGACCAACTACTATTCCAACTTTCACCTGTCCTCTTTTTGGAATTGGACGCCTCTGACAGATCATGCTTCTTCTTCCACCACCGTTCATCATGCCATTGTTACTCCTTGCACCTCCCATCTTTTTCTTTGTGATTAGTGAAGAAGAAACAAAGATACACTAATTTTTGAGCTGCAGTGGTCTGTTCCTTGTGTTGTTGGTGAATAAGTTGGGTTGTGGTTGTGGTTTGGTGGTTGGTTATATATATATAGAATGAGGCTGTCAAAACTACCCTCATTATGCTACGAAATTACAAAAGTTGTCACTGTTTTGTTGGTTGGACTTTTTGACTTCTTTAATATTGTCTCGGTGGCGGTCATATTTTTACGACAACCACATGTGACCCACACATAATGGTCTGCACAGGCATATTAAATATTTGTGTAAGAAAAAACATATACCTCACCGTGGAAATATTATAATAACAAAATATTTTTTTAAAAGAAATATATAATTTTTTTTTATTTTTTATTTTGGATTAAGTATCGTGTAATTAACGAATTTCATAGTTTGATTAATTAATATTTTAAAATTTATTAACTAATTTTGTTTACTATTTAAAATTATTTTTATATTAGAACGTTTATTAATTAAGTTCATAACTTTAATAATCAATTTTTTACCTTTTATTAACCAAATTTGTTTTATTATTAAAATAATTTTTAATATCTAGACGTTTATTAATCAACTTCATTATTTTATTAACTAATTTTTTATATTTTATTAACCAATTTTATTTTATTATAAAAGATTATTATTCATGTATTGTACACAGATACTATTTACGGAGAACTGTTCATGCATTATTTACGTTATTGTTTATATATGATTTCACTGTTTACGACACTGCTTACTGTATTTGTAAACAACGCATACAATATAAGTATAAAGGTAAAAATAAAATTAAATGTTGTTTGTTTTAAGGTGTCTATTTCATTCCACAACTAAAAAGGTTGGATAATATGATTTGTCATAAATATAATGGTTTAAAATTATGCTATAAATCATTAGAAAAACTAAAATACTTTATAATGGTTTAAAATTATGCTATAAGTCATTAGAAAAATTAAAATATTTTATTATGATAACATGTTTTTTAACAATTGCAAATTCACCCATCAAATGCATTAGTTATATACATATTTTCGTTTGCACTTTTAAGAAGAATTTCAATGCAACATTGCAGGAAATGTTATAAATTCATAAACATTCAATGTACATGTGTGTCTCAAAAATAATAATAAAAGTGAAATAATATCAATGCTAATAAATATAAGAGAAATAGTCTCACATAGAAAGATTTACTCACATACAAAATCTTTATAAGAGTTAAGAACATTAACTCAACAAAAGGGCAAAAAAGGATAAAGTGTCACATGGACAAATGTGGTGGTCTTAAGCATTATGCCACTTGTCTCCTCCATACACTCCTCGTCGGTGTCGCCACCGGTGACACTGGCTTCGGTTTCGGTTGCAGGTCTGAGGGCGTGGGCGTAGAGGCGCTAGTGTCGGCTTGTAGGAGGCACTTAAGCATGACGCATCAGAGCAATCGGGCTACTCGCAGCGTTATGAGGTGACACC